GTAGTGGGTTAGAAAATATTAGGAATGACCTTTCTTTATTAGGACACAATGGAGAAAAAGGATTCATGTAGCTGACCCCACGTAGTGGGATAAAGGCTTGATGTAGTGACCTTTCCTACTTGAGGAGCATAAGCACTTATAATATTAATAATCTTAGCATCAACAATAATTTTTAAAGTTATAATTCTATCTACAATCCTATTAATTTTTATAACATTATCTTTTAAACTCTTATCTATAATAACACCTGCACCATTTCTAGTACGACTCTTACCCAAATATCAAAGTTTAAATCCTAAACTATCAATTTCCTTAGTTTAAATTAAAAATATATATATTTTTATTTATCACTCAATTAAATTAATAGAAATTAGATTTTAGATTAATTCTTATTATTTTAATTAATAAATTTATTTTTATTTATTTTATTCTCAATTTCGCTCTCTTAAAAGCTTTCCAAAAATCTTTCCAACAGAATTCTTGTACTTTTTATTTTATCTTTTTAGCACCCTCCGGGCGTCTCTTCTCTGTGAGGGAAGGTCGAGACAGCACTTGTCATTGCTTCTGCCCACACAGATCAAAGATCAACGACGCGAGATTTTTGAGTTTAAATTCATCCCACCCAGATTAAAGATCAAAGATCACTTGTCGATTGTTGAACGAGCAATTCTAACCAATTTAGGTCTATTTGATGTAAGGCCTCTTTTTAATCTAAACCAAACCATCCATATAATTAGTTCATGGTTGAACTGGTCAAACTTGCTGATTTGGCCCGATTTTTAAAAATCATGATTTAACTCTCATCCTATGAGACCGGTGTTGACCTCATTTTTATATGAGGTCTTAAGCTTCTATCATCTCCTCCTAGCCTTTAAGTTTTTCTTACCGTAGTGTAGAAAACACCTGTAGGATCCACTCTAGGTGAGCTCTCGTCAACGTAGTGCAGACCAATCATAAAAGCCACTAAACCTTTAGATCCCCAATGATTCTCAATAAGTCATAGGGTCATCTTAAACAATAAACCACATTAACCCTACAATTTGGATCACGCCGTACTCAACTTGATCAAAACCAATTTCTAAATAAAATAGTGTAATAGACCCTCGTCGGGTCAATTTAACTCAACTCGAGTTCAATTTGAATCTAACGGCTTTGATTGACATCATGCATCTCGGGTTAATTTGAATCTAGTTGACATCAGATCAAGCAAATCGATTCAGTCCAAATTTAATCAATTTAAATAGAATTAAATTCAACACTAATCACACCAAATTTAATTAAAACAAACTTTAACTAAAAGGTTATTTTGGAATAAATAGATTTTATTTTGTATGAGTAGAAAAAGAAATTGAAGCAATGGTGGGAATTAGGAAATTTTGATTGTGTAGGTGATTTTTAAGCGAAAGAAATTGCAGGGTGTCGGAAGTGGAACGGTGGTAAGATAAGTCTTATTCGTATAATATGTAAGTTGATTGAGTATTATCGGCATACATGCATTTGAAGTAATTGTAGGTGATATATGTTTTATACTCTTGCCTGGTGGAATTAATATGAAATTAAGAGTCAATAAAATACTACACATGTAACTTCCTATAATAAGTGATTTTGTTATATGATGCTAGTATCTACAATTTTGTTATATGAGAATTTATATTATATAATTTATACAGTCATACATACTTATATGATGATACACCTGATAATCATATTCATTTATTTGCATATGCATGTTTCTATATTTATGCAAGTATCACATAGCTTGGAAAGGAAAAAACCAATGATCTGATAAGTCTGAGAATTTGTCAAGTTAAGTGGTAGGTGAGTAGGGCAATATGATCCTAATGGGCAGTGCAACCTCGATATGATATGAGCATATGGGTGATAGAGACGATGCAACCTCAGATGCCTACAGGCTATGCAGACTTAGACCAAATCATATGGACAAGACACTAAGGCTGAAAAAGAGAACAATGAGATGAACTAAAATCAATTTTTGATTATCTTTAGTAATGTATGAGATAAAGTTTGAAAAATAATTCTCAATGTAGGATTTACCGATAGTGTAGTAGTTTTATGTTAAAATACTACTACCGTAATATAATGATATTAAAATAACAGTATTTTCAATTGTTACGCTATAACCTACTATGTATCATTACTATTAAAAGATTATAGACAATTTTCTCTTCTTACATGCATGTGTTGATATACTAAGTATTAACACACTGAATAGAATTGACAATTTTCTCTTCTTCGATCCTCCCATCTTTTCAATCAAAACCCTACAAGTTTTACATCCTAGATCTAATCAAATACATGAT